AGTGTGAAATCTTTTTTCTTGGAGGAAAAGGGAATGGAGGCGACTTGGGATTGATTCCAAGTTCTTGTAGTCCTACACACATCCCTTGCAAGTGGGTGACCATTTGACCACCAAGTGCGGGATTATATTTTTAATAAAATATATATTTATTATATTCTTAATCCTTACTCTACAAAACATCCTATTAAACACGAACTAATAGAACAAGTTTTCTTATCTTTTGTATAATCCCACCCACATGGTTCACGTTGGCTAAAGGGAAATGGCATGGCATGCCATGGCATGGTCCATTCTGCCTAATTTTCGAATGAAAAATTAACGCTTGTGGGTTTCTTGTTTCTTACGCATCGGTGTAACAGTATATAAATATTGACCCATCACTTTCATAAATTCAACTTAACACCACATAAGATTAGGAAAAGGCGGCTATAGAAACTTTATAATGAACACGTAATCGTTGTAACAAATAATAACAAGAATAGTATGAAAACTTAGTAAGGTTTATTTTAAACTTAAAATTAATTTGTTATATGTAAAATAATTTTTTTATATTTAAACAACATATTTTTATTATTATATCTTTAATATGGAATTTTTTTCATTTAATAAATAAAATATAACTTTTTCAACCGACCAATAAATAAAATAAAAATTTATTGTCTTATATATTAAACTGTTTTACATTATAAAATAAAATTTTTTGAATGAAAAAACTCCTAATATCAAAAGCTTATCTTTTATTTAAAAGTTAATACTTTATAATTTAAAATAATTTAAATTTAAAAAATATTTTTTAATAAAATAAAGTTAGAAACAAGTTAATGCAACTTTAGATTAAGATCTTCCTATTCCTATTCCTATTTAACTAGTGGGTATTGAATTTCTTAATGCACCGACACATGTGCAGAGACCAATGGACCATGTTTTCTTATCAGCCTAAGAAAGATGACTCGAGGTTCAAAGTCCTCAATGCCCGGTGCGTGTGCCCATTTAATTAAAACAAAATGGTTATGCACAAATTCAACACTAAAACAGACGTACCATTCGGTTTGTGATGCAAATTCACCCAGTCCACTTCCGGTCAGAAATTCAACTTTTCTGTTGTTTGTGCCTTTCTCCAATGGGGCCTGCACTACATTTAGACTATACATCTTTTCTTTTAACTTTTGGTACCATTACTGAATAATTGCATGAGAAAAATGTGGATATGAATGAGAACAATAATAAAAGAGGAGCACGATTTTTTAATTTGTTCAATCTATTGCGAAGCGTGAAAATGATATTTTTGCCAAGAAAATGCTGATTGGAAGAGAAAGAGAAAAGTCTGAATGGAAAAGAGAAATGAGATAATCTATGATGATATATTGTCATCGAGGCAAAGCTCTCTGCCCTACTCTTGAAGCTCTTGAATATACATGTCACAAGAGCCTCTGAGATGAACGGGCAAATGATGCAGAAAGTCACAACAAATTGTATGGCTTGCTGCATGAAATTCATGTCACAATAAAAGTTACAAGAAAAAAGAAGTGATGACATTTCCCTTATTTTTGTGGTTCTGCAAGCAGCGAACCCTCAATGTTCATCAATAGTGGTTTCGAAATAGAATTTTCCTTTAGCAACTGTTAACTGACTCGAAACAGTCGAAATAAGGTTCAATCGTTGTCCCCTGAATCAGGGACCTAAGGACAAAAAAATGCTGTATATTGTCCCATATGAGTGAATAATAATCCTGGTATTTTTATAGGCATTTTTGACGCCGCTATTGAAATAGCCCGTCGTGCTAGCTTTTCGGCTACTCCATCCATTTCATAAAGTATTCTACCAGGTTTAACGACAGCTACCCAATACTTGGGGGATCCTTTCCCTCTACACAAGTTCATCCAAAATTAGGTATATTGGGCATAGAAGCATTAACACAAGGGGTAAGCGGGTAACGCGACCTGTGTTTTGTAGCCCAATCTCACGTAATAGAATATAATTGTGAGTGACATATAATTGTAAAGCTCTGTAAATTTAGGCTAGCGATGAGTCCCAGCTTTAGTAGTTGGGCTTCAGCCTTTTACCCAGTAGGCCGTGACAGTACAGAAACTAGACTATCCCTCTCCTACCCAGCAGGCCGTGACTCTGCGTTTACCCGCACTAGGCCTCCCACGAACCACGATCCTATTATAGAGCCGGATCCTAGGGTTAGGTCATCGTCTCTGCAAGTAGTGAAAGGAAACAATGGAAGTTCTTGATTTGGACTCTCTTTCTCCACACAGTTACGGATGGCCCCCTCAACGGAAAAACCCAAATCTTCCATACAGGATACAGCACATTAATTTAATTCTTTGGAATTTCAATATTTATTTTAAGATTTATGAGTTGGCTGCATATGACTATCTAACAAGATGCATATATAAATATATATATATATATATTTGGCTGTCAAACATTCTAACAACATGCATATTAATTCTTGGATTTTATTGAGTAAAATATCACAAAATTGTGATGAAACGCCATTACAAAGAGTTATTTTTCTTTGTAAATTGGATAAAGGAAGCCTATGCCATTGGTCCTGACCACGATTCAATGTCTTCTCTACTTTGGAACTCGCTACCTACCACAAGGCAAGTTGTGATCGATCATCAGAGATATGTGCTGGCAGTGAGATAGATATTACTAATATTAAAAAAAAA